TATTAGTAGTGAATCATAAGCACTGATGGGTTTTACCATACAGGAATAAAAATCTAAGGCTGAAGCTGAGAAGAATCATAAAATCAAAAAGAACAACTGATGGACATACTTTGTTTTGCAAAAATACCTGTCATGCTAGCAAGACAGAGGGTCATAGAATAGGTCAAAATATTTAATATTTTTTTTACAGATATTTTTCATATTATAAAACAAACACAGATACAATATAAAATAGGAAAGAATAGTTTGAAATGTATCAAATACAGACTAGTCAATATTTATATGTATTAACTAAGGAAATACTGAAGATGTCAGACAGGTTTAGAATAAAAATGAAGCTTCATAAAATTTCTAAATTAATATTAAAATTTAGCACTAACATTACTGCAACTTAAACCGGAACTCAAAAATAAAAAAGCTGTATATTCAGTGGTGCAGACCTGAATCATAGATTCATAGAATGGCTTGATTTGGAAAGGACCTGAAGGATCATTTTATTCCTTGAACACTTGAACATTTCCAGGGATGAGGCATCCACAGCCTCTCTGGGCAACCTGCTCCTGTGCCTCACCACCCTCACAGTGAAGAATTTCTTCCCAGTATCTAAACTAAATCGACAGTCTTTCAGTTTAAAGCCATTATTCCCTATCCTTTACCTATCTGAAGGGCAAAAACACCTGCTACCATCAGAAGTACTGCCACATCTTGATACTTAGTCCTCTAGTGGGGTCAGCCTTCTTCTTCTCTGCTGTAAGAATATCTTGCTGGATTTTCCACCATTGTGTGTAGACTGGAATATGGTCTAACTACATGGTTTGAATTGCAGTACACAGCTTATGATACACCAATGCTGACCTGTGTGACTCTGTTTTTATTTTTCTTTATTCCCAGGAATTGCATTAGACCTTCCCGCACATGTTATTAGAGGAACTGTGTCAGGTATCAACAACAACAATCAAAGAAATAGCTAAGGAACATTAGCAGAAGTCTAGTAATACAGTTAACATATTAGAGACAAAGATGTAAATGAAATGAAGGGAAATGAATCTCCACTAAATTGACTCAGCTTTTCATAACAGTGCAACCTAGACTCTTCCCAGTACTTTGTCATAAGGATGGTTCTCTTACTTTAGGAATACATTTTGGAGCCTGTACTATCCCAGATTAATGGCTGAACCCGTACTGTTATCATTACAGCCAAAAAACCCAATAGCTGGATAAAAGTACTCTAAGCTACATTAAGGTGATGAAATATTTTGTGAAGCTATCTTGCAACTGGTGCTATGTTTAGTCAAATTAGAAGAGCAGGAACATAATTACTGGTATAAAATGCAAGAACAAATGTCCTCATTACTGTGTAGCTGTGGGTGAAAACAGGACTTGTAGTACTGTCTACAGCTGAGGTTGCCTGAAGCTTCAAATCATAAGACACAGTTTCAGTACTTGTAACATTTCAAAGCTCTTTGCTGTTCTGGTTACAACATTCTATACCAGATTTCTTGACTCTCCCTGAATTTCAATTAGAAAGTTTCAGGTAAAAATATTTTAATCTGTAGAGGAGAAGAGTTAAAGAGTATGTGTTTGTCCATATAATATGAAACTTCTTACAAGAGGTTGGGGAGAACTCGTTGCCTGAGATACTGTTTATCACAAGACTTGAATTTGCTTACTGGGATGCCTGTGTTCATTTCTTAGGGTGGAGATAAAATCAAGCAAAAAACAACATTTGAGGGTGTACTTAAAAATTGTGTTATAGACAAGAACTTTGCCATCTGAAAAACAAGTCTGATGAAAAAAGGAAATGCAAATCCATAATAATTCAGACTGAAGAAACATAGAGAAAGAACAAAGCAAAATGATGTGCAAGTGGTGTTAAAAATGTGGTTCTAGGCTAGAAGAACAAAATCATGCTCAGCTTTTGAGCCTAAGGCCATCTTCCAATATTGCCTTCAAAAATGTCTGGTATGTATTTCAAAATATTACCATTCTTGCTGTATTTTATATTCTGAATGATGGGAGAAGAGATGGTAGAGGAGTTAGATAAAAAATTGTCTTTTGAAATATAAATACCATAGATAATGACCTAAGTATCAGAAGCAACAAAGTAACATTTTTTTCAAGAAATAAGCAAGCCAAACCAAACCAGACTTTTATTTGACCCAAATAACTAGAAAAATCTGGGGCTTTAAGTCAGAGTCTTCAAAAGTGTTAGAAAACATTTTTTTCCAAAATGCATGGTGCTTAGTATTGAGTGATACATTTATCAGTTTAAATTAAACTAATTAGAGTAATGACATATATAGATAGATGAAGTACAGTTCTGCTAAGACTAAGATGTCTGCTAAGACAGTTGCCTTACCCAGAAAATGTTCTTCCTTTTTGATATGTATACTTTTTATGTTGTAAATAAAAAAAATATTCTCCTTGGTTTCCCATTTGAAATACTGCGTCAGTCTTTTTTGTTTGTTTGTTTGCTCTATTTTGTTTTATCTTACAAAACTTTATAGCAATATGGTGTAAACAAGTATTTTCAGATATCCTTCTTTTATTTCTAAGGCCAATAAAGATGTATTTGTATGTTTAGAACTGTCATTCTCATCTGCACAGGTGTTAAACCCATGGTTTTGTTAATCATTGAGATTTCTATCTGAATGTTGCTTGAAGTCTTCCTGTGATCTTTCTGCCAGGTTCTGCTTCACCTTTAATAAACAAACATAGCTCAGAGAATTCAATGTGTAGAATGACTCATTTTGTTGTAAAACTGTTTATAGTGAACTGACTTGAATTAATTCTGGAATAATCTCACTCTGCCTGTTGCAGCACAGCCATATACTGCCTTCTCATCCCAGATGTACTTCACCCCCAGGACAATGAGTATTTCTGGAACTAAACAGCCTAAGCTCCTTTGATCCTTTTATTAGCAAATCTACTTGCTGGTTGTATAAAAAGGAGGTGAATTAGACCAATTTGGAAATTACAATGTAATGACAGAATTTTAATGTAAGGAAAGCTTATGCTGGTTTATGTGGAAGAAGAATCAGAAGGCTTACTAGCATGTTATTTGGGACCACTCAACACACGGGTCATAAAATACAGTACAAGGTAGATTGAGGCTTGTGCACACCTTTCTCAGACAGTGAGCATCCATGTACTGTTCTACCTACGAGATTACTTTCTGTAGGGAATATGTCTACACAAACAGCAAAATTTATGGTCTTTTTTTTTTTCTTTAAAAGGAAAATGTGATCACTTGTGAAAATAACTGTCATTTAAAGATATCAGAGTAGTTCGGTATTTTGACAAACAACAATTCCTTTGAATACAATGTTGTAGTCTTTTATACATAACTTTATATGTTTATATGTTATACTAACATAACTCTTTTATACATACACTTTACTTTATGAAAAGAGTATTAATTGTAACAGAAAACACTGTTTACCTGAAAAGCTGCTTATTCTGTGTTTTAACTGTAATATGAAAATAAAAAGAGTGACACACAAGGCACATGTATATATTGAAATACTTCTGTAGTCTTTTTCACTCTCCCCAGTGTAGATGAAGAACTAAATTAATCTTTTATTCTTTTGATTTCTGCTCATTGAGTAAACCCATTATTTACAAGAAAACAGACCTTTTAAAGAGCTTCCATTTTAGCACATTTCTTCTTTGATTTAAAGATGTAATTTCAAATATTCTGACACATAAGTTTCCTCTAGACCTTGATCCATTTGAGCTTTACTACCTGATGGTTTTGCTTTTAGGTAGTTGAAACGTGATTATTTAGATTCACTTATAGGGATCAAAGCAGGATGACTTATCTGTAATTTTCTATCTTCAAAAATTTATTTTTTTCCCCCTATGACTATCTTTGGCTTTTTTGGTCCTGAAATGTCATTTATCTGACAGGACTCATCAAAAGAACCTCCAGTGATTCAGAGGTTATTTTGGCTATTTTCTTGAATACTGTAGATATAATTCCCAAACCCCCGATCATTCGAAAGCACCCACTTTTAATTTGTATTCTCCCTGTTCTGTTCAGCAGAAGTTGTACTGTTAAACGCCTGGCTGCAAACTTTTTGGGGAAAATTGTATATAGGTGGCCAAATTCTCAATGGTGTGAAGAAGTGTCTTTTGAAATGAAATCAAAAAGTATGCTACATAAAGGTATGGTTCACTGTACCCTAAAAGATTTCTTTTGCTTGTTTGTTTCATGGAATGTAATGCCTTGTTCTGAAATCATCCTGCTGGTATTATTTTAATTAAAAAAGACACTTTAGATAGCGTTAAGCATCCAAAAATGCAGTGATGGGACTACTAATCTAGCATGCTGTGATGAGGAAATTTCTTTTTTTCTTTTTTTAATTTAAAAAATACGAGAGTGGCAAACGCCCATATCTGGCGGGTCTGCCTGGCCGTGCTACGCATTCTGTGCCCACCGCTGCCGAATGGCAGAGCCGGTGACGAGGCCGGTATTTTCTGCAGCGCTTACTGTACCTGCAGGAGCAAATCCGACCGAACCTTTCCTCCACAAGGTTTCCGCGGCTTGGGGACGATGCCTGCCTGGCCGGGCACTCACTTCACGTTCCCACCTTCACACAGGGGTCTGGGTGTACCCCGATCCCGAAGGAGACCGCAAATACCACAGCGCAGACACCCCCTACCCTCGCTCTCCGCGGCGACCTCCGGAGCCGTTTGCCCTCCAAGCCTCTCGTACGGTGTGACCGTCTCCAGTGCAGAAAACAGATGGGGAGGGGGGCAAGATAAGCCCCCTCCCGCTATGTCCTCATGTGCATTGCCGCACGTATACATAGCAGAGCCGCCGCTCCCCTCGCACCTCGCTTCGAGCTGCTCGCCGCCACCGAGGGGACAACCAGGGTGGGGGGCCTAGGGAGGCAAACTTTCCGCCCGGCTGGGCCAAGGTGAGGGTTTCGTCCTTCCTTTAGCTTCAACGTCAGCGCTGCAGCTCCAACCTCCCTCGGTCGCGCCACTCTGAGTGGAGGGCGGCGCGGCGGAACCCTGCGCTCGTTCCTGGCGGCGGGCGCTCCGCTCCGGCCCGCCCCGCACCGGAGAGTAGGCGCCGGGCTCCGGCGTGCTCTGCTGCCGCCACCGCCTCCGCCGCAGAAGAAGGATGGAGCCGGGCAAGGAGCCCCGGCTGGCCACCGGAGGAAAGCCCAGCGAATCTGAGCCGTCGGTATCCTTCCAGGCCCGGCTGTGGAAGAACCTGCAGCTGGGGGGTAAGGGCCGGAGCGGCGGCGGGCGGGCGGGAGCCGAGCGCCGCACTGCGGAGCCCCCCGCTCCGCCGCCGCCGCCGACCAGCGGCAAGGGGGACCTGCCAGCCGGCGCAAAGTGGAGCGGCTTCAAGCGGCGGCGGCAAGTGCTGGACCGCGTCTTTTCGTCCTCCCAGCCCAATCTCTGCTGCTCGGCGGCCGAGCCGCTGGAGCCGGACGGCGAGTCCGGCTCCGCCCTTCGCCGCCTGCGGGAGCACCTGCTCCCCCAAGGCAAGGGGCCGCCGTCCGCCAGCCGGGTCGTGCCCGCCGCCGGCGATGAGGGGCAGGCGGGTGGCAAGGAGGGGCGCCGGCCTGGGGCGCACCTGTCCCACCAGAAGAGCTCCTCGTTGCCCAGCACCGCTTGCCTGGAGCAGCTGCTGCAGGGCTCGCCCACCGTCGGCAGGAGACAGGAGCAGCGGGCGGAGGACGGCGATGGTGGCGGGGTGAGTGTTGGCCCCGTAGCCCTTCGTGGGGCTGCCCTGGTGGCCCTGTACGTACTGGGCCGAGGTGGAGGGGCCGGCGGGATGGAAGGTCCCGGGGAGGGCAGGCGAGACGAGGCAAGGCGAAGCGGGAAGGGCGGCCGGCTGCTAGGGAAGGGAGCTGAGGAGAGAGAGGTCAGAGGACGGCCAGCTCTGGGTGTCAGACCCCCGACCGCTCGCTTGCCAATGGGGATGTCCTTCGCCTGAGAGGGGGAACGGCCAGGGGTCCGCCCGGCTCGGAGCCCTGCACTGCTCTGCACACCGTGAAAGGCCGTGCGGTGGAGCCATCCCGAGCTGCGGGCGCAGCGCTGCCGGGGGTGCTTGTGCACCGGAGCAGGAGCTACTCCCCTCAGACATTCCTTTTTATAAACCACGCAGAGGAAGTTTGGTTGGAGGGGAAGTTGGGGTTCCCTCGCTCTCACGCCTTTCCCCGGAGCCACCTCTCACCTCTCCGAGGGCTCTCTCTGCTGCTGTCTGCTCTTGACACATGAAGCACGGCTTTTCCTCAGGCAGCCTCTGCTTTTTTCCTTTTGTCTGGTTATCCAACTTTGAATTATTAGGTCTTTAAATTTCTGCAGGACACTCAAACGATGATCATTAGTACACATTTAACAGACGGTAGAACATACTGGGTAGTGCCACATGCAGCTGGTCTCTTCAGTCTGATGAGACAGTCGTTCTTCCCTGTTTATTGAGGCAAGGAGGTGAAAAAAGTTGGAGGTCATCCGATTGTTAGTTTTGAAATAGGTGGTGAAGCAGATGTTCATAAGGGCTGCTAAATCTTGCCATAAATTTCCTGCAACAAAACTGCAAAGCATATGGATATTTCTGGAGTTTGTGTAATTCGAAGCAGTCATCCACTTTTCTTCAGGAATAATTGACTAATATCTATTGTTATAAAATGTTTTCTGGCATACTTAGGGAGAATTAGTAGCTGAAGTAAAAGGTACGCTCTGTGTGTTGTCAAAAATAAGCGGTGTGTGTACCTGTGCTTGGCTGCGTACCTCTGCTTGGGATCTAGAGTGATGGTAGTTCTGTGATGATTTGCAAGTGTCCCTTGATATCAGTGGGACTTTCATGTGTGGCAGAGTTCAGAGGAATACATCTTTACAAACATGTGACCTAACTTTATGTCTGAATCTTACAGGGTTACTTTGGTGATAGTCATCATCCTGACTGTAAACCACAGTGGTTTCCTTGTATAATGCTTGTAAATGTTTTACATCATTGCTTATTGATGTGGGATTATCATGACAGGTGTCTGCAAAGTGGGCAATTCTCTGCAGTAGTTAGTCCCTTCCTTCCCACACCCCTGGCTCACAAAAATGTCATGCACATTTTAGTATTATTGTTTAAGACTACATGATATCATTCTGCTTTAAAGACTGCTACATCTAACAAATAAACAAATATGAAAATGTGGGGTTGTCTTTACACAAAATATGCTGAGTTAGAAGCAACCCACAAGGATCATCAAGTTCCATCCCTTAGTACTGCACAGGACCATCCCTGAGAGTCACACCATGTGCCTGAGAGTATCATCCAAATACTTCTTAAACTCTGTCAGGCTTGGTGCTGTGACCACTGCTCTGGGGAGCCTGTTCCAGTGCCTAACCACCCTCTGGGTGAAGAGCCTTTTTTTTATATCCAATCTAAACCTCCACTGACACAACTTTAGGCCATTCCCTCAGGTCCTGTCACTGGTCACCACAGAGAAGAGATCAGTGCCTGCCCCTCCTCTTCCACTCAAAAGGAAATTGTAGACTGCAATGAGCTCTCCCATCAGTCTTCTCCAGGCTGAACAGACCAAGTGACCTCAGTCACTCCTCATATGGCTTCCCCTCAATGCCCTTCCCCCTCTTTGTTGCCCTCCTTTGGACACTCTCTAATGGCTTAATATCTTTCTTATATCGTGGTACCCAAAACTGCCACAACATTCAAGGTGAGGCCACACCAGTGCAGAGCAAACCGGGACAATCCCCTCCCTTGCCTGGCAGGCAATGCTTTGCCTGATGCTCCCCCAGGACACAGTTGGACCTCTTGGCTGCCAGGGCACTGCTGACTCATATTCAACTGGCCATCAACCAGGACTCCCAGATCCCTTTCCGCAAAGCTGCTTTCCAGCATCTCATTCCCCAGTCTGTATGTACATCCAGGGTTGCCCCAACCCAGTGCAGAATCTGCCCCTTTTCCTTGTTGAACTTCATATGGTTGGTGACTGCCCAGTCCTCTGATTTCTGCTGTTGTGTTCAGCAAAGAAACGACATGTTTATTTACAAAACCAGGTCAATTGCTATTTAGTTGTGAGAGCACTGGTCTTGTTTCAAGCAAGTTACAGTCAGCATTTGGAAAGAATACTGCTAAATCAAATCAAAGTGGAACCCAGGCTAACACTTGTCTTTAATTAGCAGGATTATAGTCAGTTCCTCCAAGCAGTTTCTAGTATTAATATGGGCTGTACCTGCATACCAAACCTGCTGGTTTTGATATTAAATAAAGCTTGTTTGTGTGTTTGTGGAGTTTGCAGAGCTGCTGATCATGTTTGTTTTGGAGGGATAATTTGAAATACAATAACTCTTCTGATATTGCATAATGAGCACATTCACTGCTGTTTTCATCTCTAGAAGTGTAATCTCACTTGATTTAATTCAGAGGCTTCATTGAGCCATGGGATAGTTCTGGAAATGAGATTGTGACTATAAAGCATTGTTGAACTGTCTTCAGGTATGACTGGTGCTCTTCAGTGATCTGCTAACAGACCAAGTACCTTCCATTATGAGCAGCTGGAGTTTCCAGTTCAGTGCACTGCAGGAGCCAAGTCTTGCATGCTTACTTAGAGTTCAGTGTACTTCAGGAGTCAAGGCTGCACCCCAGGGCAGTAAGGTCACTGCCTTACCTTAGTCATGGCATTTACACCTCTCTGAGGACTTGAGATTGCACATCTGGTAAAATTAGTTTGGAATAACTTGCGTTTTTAAATCCAAGCTTTACTTACAACAGCACAGACTTTTCAGCACTGTTTTTTTATTGCCCAGCAACCTTACATATCCAAAGATGAAAAAATTCTATAAACTAACAGAATCACAAAAATGAGATTAAATTACCTAAATGTAAAACAATGTAAGATTTCAACTTCCTTTAAAATGTATTTAAAATTTTATTGAACTATAGCACAAGTAGATGCTACTGCTTCTTTTGGATCTGTTGAATTTTTTAGCAAATCTGTAAACAAAAAGACCTGCTAGATATTTTAAGGGACATGGTTATGTCCCATAATAAAATCCCATGATAAGTCAACTTTTTGTGCTTTTAAACTGAAATAATATAGTTGTTATAAGTGAAAAGGAGCTTAGGCAGTGGATGGGAAGACTTACAGTGTAAGGTGCCATAATCTGTGGATTTTATCTTGAAATGTAATTTTTGGCATAATCAAACCATTTAAGTTTAATTTGAACTCATTAAAATGTGATATAGTGCTATTGCATTGGGCATGGACAATCTAGCAGACTCCTGGTTTTCTTATCATTGAGTAAAGTGTCTGTTATAGTGGATAGGGTTAGTACCTGGGTTTAAGTAGAGGTGCACACTTAAAAGTGGAGCCTTATACAAACAATACCTATTATATTTCCACACTGAATACTGATCTAGTTCTTTACTGAAGACTGAATACTCTGTGGAGCTGTCCATGAATATTTTTGGGTAGGTGATCATAGCTATTTATTGTCAGAAAACTTAGCTTCCTGTTAAAGGATAACCAGAGTGTAAATGTGGGGTTTTAGAACAAAGAAATGCACACATGTGCAATTAAACATCGTCTTTTCCCAGCTTCTCCTTGGCCAAACCTTCTGTAACTCTCCATGTGGTATCCAATTACCTCCATGTAACTGATGTGTGCTGCATCTTTGAGGGAGTGGGAGGGGGACCATGGAAGCCTCCTAGGATGTCCCATGGGCAGGAGATGATAAGAACCCTCCAGGGGCAATGCTTCACAGTGCTTCCAGTGTCTGAGTGTGCTATCATGCCCCAAGGCAGTGTGGCAAGGGTCCCTTATAATTTGCATCTTCTTGTCAGCTGGAGCTTGAATTTATCCAGCAATGCCTGTACCAACATGGCCTTTCTCTTGAATGTGAGACATAGCTTTGCATGGAAAGTTTTATGCTATTTGCATTTTGTCATAGTAGTGTAGTGAAAACTAGGAGGCTGGAAATATCCTTGTCTGTTAAGATTTGCAGTAATAAAAACCCTAAAAGTGTTTCACAGCCTTAATCGGAGAACATAGGTATGGGCATATGTTGTTTTGAATCAACAGTGAACATGAGGAGGGCTTAGGGAGAGGATCCCTGACTTAAGGGGCATCCAGGCTTCAGTCTGGCTGCCACAGTAAGAGCTCTTGTGAGCACTTTTCTCCAGTGGATTTTCTTGCAAGATAATGCTCTGGTAACAACAAATCCTGTGACTTCTTAAAGCATGTTCAGGTTGAGCCATTAAGTTGAAAGAGTGGACAAATTCTTAACCCCTTCCATCAATGTCTGTTTCAAGTTTTGTGATTGTGTAAGTAAACTGGAGATGTGGCAGGGCTCAGGGGTTACTGCGGAGGGAAGAATAGGGGCTGACTAGAGCTGCTTTTTAGCCTCTAGGTTCTTAGCCATAGTAAATCAAGGGTCATTAGTTTTGTGAACAGGGACTATTTGTTTTGTTAATAAGCATCCTGCAGACCTACATTTGTGGGTCTTCAGGGCCAGAGATTGGAAAACAATGGTCTAGATTATGTAACAATGACTGATGCAAGGGAGAGATTAGATGAAGTAAAAAACTAGACATATACATCCAGGTACAGTATCTCTCCCATTCTTGCAATAATGTATAACTGTTGGTCAATAGAGTTTGTGTAAGAAGGTGGGCTGTGTGTAGGGCACATGGGAAGGATCTGCAGGAAAAGGGAGAATTTAATGGGCTGGGTTGTA